TGCTTGCAACATTGTTTTGCGATCATGCTGATGCTGTTTCCGAGGTATGAATGTTCCAGGAAATCCAATCGGCAGCTGATCAAGAGGAATCCGCAGTCGTCTTCTGGTGGAATTGATTTTCGAATCTCTTCACCAAAAACTTTTACTCGAAATGGAAGTAAGCACAAAAATTATGAAACAAGAGATTCCTCGAAACCGAGCTTTTCTTTGCATATGATTTTATAATCAAATTCCACAATCATACTTATCAAATAAAGGTGCTTCAAATCAAATGAAAAAAAGGATTTCTAAGAATCTCATAATACTAATTGAATGAGTGATTGAATTTTTAAATAAGCTTCACAAATGTATGTCCCTAATCCAGCCTATCGTCCATGGAACTCGATGGTGTAGCTGTGACGCACCTGAATCTTAATAGTGGGTGCTGATTAAGCCTATGCTAGATAGAAATTACTCTCCATCCTGGATGAGAAAGATCTTTGCAATGTCATTGAGATTCAGCATAAAAGTTAATACACTATTACCGATGCCTAGAACATAAATAGATTAAAGATCATAAAACTAAAAATCCCCCTATTCGTTCATACAGCGCAATAATCACATAGTTGCCCGCTTATATAGAGTCATTGAACAAGTTCATACAATTAAATAAAACACTCTCATTTCAAACGTATTTCTTCTTATTTGTCTTTATCAGCCAAATTGTATCAGCTAAATTGGACCATCCATTTGTGTGAGTCTAATCTTGTGACGTAAGGCAAAAATCTGAAAGAGAATAGCATATTCATATGTAAATTACTCAACCTACGCCTCAAAATTAAAGCTAATCAGAAAAAAACCGTTATATTCAGTAATTACCTGTAACGGTAAGATTAATAAGATCTGAATCCCGATCCATTTTGTTGTCTGATTTTGCTTGTCTTTTGTTTGTCCTAGATGAGGCAGGGGCCTCGGGCTGGAGATAGAGAATACCGAGATGAGGGCGCAGGGTAGTGAATGGAAAATCCGCAACCCGAGGTCTGGCCCGAGTCAGTCGGCGTAGCAAGGTCGATTTGCCAACATTTGGAGCACCGACGAAGCCGAGCTGAGCTATTTTGTGTAGCCGAAGCAGAAGACGCAACTTTTCTCCTGGCGAGCCGGTCTCAGCAAATCTAACTTGGCTAGAACGAATAGAATGGAGTCCGGGTGCCTTCTGAAAGCACAAGAGATCTGTTGGCATGGGAGACTGAAATGATTTAGGGATTAAGCCATGTGTGGACGATTTTGGAGAACCAGAGGTAGCGGAAGACGGGGAGCAAATAGCAGTTGCTAGGAAAGCGTTGCCTTTCCCACCAGACCCGCCCCGAGCAGCGATATACGTTTCACCAGGTTTATTAAGATGAGCCAGTAACCGAGCTGATTATGACACAAAATATAAGCTATATAGTTAATTTTTGAAATCAAATGAATAAACCAAAATGATCATGTTTAAAGCATTGAAATTGACAAAATATAAGAGCATAAAATATTTTTCATATATATGAATAAAAATAGGCTTTAAAGAGTCCTTAAAAGAATGATACTGGGATTGAAATAAATTCGTAAATAGGACCCACTGGAGGCCGAAGGAGGATTGCCTTGAAGGTGACTGTATATGTGTGAATAAGTCATCATCGCACAAAGCCCAAAACTCCAATGAATCCGTGCTGAGCTTTTGTCTACTATGTGAAGGACATCATCATAGCAGGAACCCAGGCTTTATGATAATTCGCCCATAAAGAAGACAAAAAAGGTGAGTCTGAAATCTTACCTATTTCATATAACCTAACTTTATCCACTTAGACATTCCATGATAATGACGTGAAAATTATATCTTGCGTGAAGTGGCTGTAGATTATGCGTGAAGTAGATGCAACTGTGATCCAAAGAATAAATCCTTCCTAATATCACTTAAATGTTGATCCTGCAACGCTAAAGCATGACAATGTATTCTATTGCATGTATGTTGTGTGCACGCAACGCTCGTGAGCCGTGGGGTATGAGAATACAAACCAGATTCGAGACTAATAAAACCTCTTACTCTTGCTTGGTGGTACTTCTTGTTCTTTCTCTCTCTCCCTAAGCCTTCCCAAAAGCCAAAGATAGGTTCCACTGACTTTCCTATGCTCGTTCCTTATATTCAGGATTCTGTCCGTTTCGTCGATAATATTTTAAAAATATTGTCAATAAATCCTAAAAAAGCAATTGTTCGCAACTAAAATTGTCATTGGTCTCCATATCCTGGTCGCGATTATAGACATATGCAAGACCAAAGCTTCCTATTACAATGGATTTCGTTACCTAAATAGTAAAATGTAGTTTAAAGGACTCGTTTAGCTATACTAGGTAAATTTGGTATATAAATAACACCAACTAATAATGTAAATCGTGTTTAAAGCAAAGGAAGAACAGTCGTTGTAATGGGTAAAGGTAATTATGCAGATCATGAGCAAGAAAATATTATATAATTACGTTCTATGATAAGAAAAAAATTATTAATTTTAGAAATAGGCTGACCTCGTTTCCGCAACTTGGTCATGTTGTCAGGGTGACTTAGTTGGATGCATCTTGTCCGAAGTCTTCTGTCATAGTAGTTATCATAATTCCCAGCGTCAGACCGTGGACTTGGTACATTCTCAGATGTCTTGCCATTCTCAGCACCAGGCTACAACTCATCAAAAAGCAAACACATGGCAAACGACAGGAGTGATGACACCACGCTAAACATGTCAAAAGAGGCACACCTCTGGAGGATGAATATAATTAAATGAGAAGTTGTGATAAGGCGTGAATGAGACAATAGGGTATGTATTAGATAGATGGGCCAGGACAGAAAGAGAAGTGATGACATAACTGTTTCAGCAGAAAGTTGATTAAAGGATCGACTTCACTTGTCTCTTCGACGAGTTGTAGCTTGGTGCTGAGAATGGCAGGACTCTTTGACGATGCCGACTACGATGCCAGTGAAACCTCTGAGAATGTACTAAGTCCACAGTCCGAAGCTTGAAAATATACTAACTACTATAGCAGAGGACTCCGGACAAGGGGCGTCTGAATGTATGTGGTCTGCTCAAAATACATAAGCAAAGGACATCACTTTGAATTATTGCAAATAATAAGGGTCGCGTGATGCATAAAGAATCACGATTTAGATTAACGTTTCTGTAGACAAGGCTACACATGCTCTAAAATTAACGATAGATTTTATTGAGTACAAATTTAGATATTGGCATATTGAACGATGTATTGTACACATTTTAGAGTCCACGAGCAAATAGAAAGGTTGACTATGGGATCGTGTTTGTCTCCAACTTTAGGAAATAACTCGTTGACTCAAATGGAGGGTCGTCTAATACAAGACGCACTTTTGGTTCCTAAATTATAGCCATGAAGTTCACGGTCCGACGCTGGGGATTATTATAGATACTAAAGCTGAAGACTTCAGCCAAGGTACATGCAAATAGGTCGTACTGACAACCCGACCACGTTACTAAAACGATGCCAAACTACTTGATTACAGAGAACGGAGACTACGATCAAAACAGAGACCACAACATCTTGGCCTTCATATCTACGATTCACTAAGCCTTGCCTATCAGAAGCTTATCTGATCCAGAGTGCACTTCACTTTCGACCTCGCAAGGGTCTTACCCGTACTCCGATACTCGCTACCCAGTATCGGTTACCGCTGGGGGCGCCGAATGGACCTAGACAAGGTCGAAACTGCAGTCCACCCTGGATGAGAATAATATTTGGTAAGCAAGTCTATGTGAAATTCATCTTAAAATAGCAGACCTATTCATAATATTGTAGAAAAATTCAATCACCACTTCTTCATCACCTTATGCTACCCAGGGTGTCAACAAGTCTTTTAAAAATTTATTGTCGGTTTCCAGCTAAGAAGCATCAAGCTCTGGAGGAGTAAAACTTGTTTTAAATACAAGCATAAAATCTGAATTGTGTGTCTACTTAGGAAAGCTTTAAATTGCTTGAGCCGATGCCCTTAGCTTTCATTTAAAAATGATGAGAATGTCTAGCCATTCAAATATTTTGAATTCCTTATCCATATGAGTCTGGTATACTGCATGCATAAGATGCTTATGAGTCGAATTGTGATGTTCTTTTTATTTCCAAAATACGAATATTGTGGAATTCCATCCAAGGTGGATCTAAGGCTTTTTCTTGTTATACTTGACTAAACTATGACTGCAGCTATATGGGAACTGAAAAGGAATGACAAAATTGTCTCTTAATCTGGTGTGAGATTCTTGTTTATTTGTGGCAGCACATCCAATTTTGACTGAGTACCTTCTAGATGCAATAAAATCCATAAATCGCATATCCTTGACTTTATTCAACTCTATGGATAAGGAAGCAGACATATAAATTTTAATAA